CCGAGCCAGGACACCCCACCAGGTCCAGCGCCGTGGCATTGACTGCAGTGGGGACTCTCAGATGTGCTGCCGCCAGGAATTCTTCGTGGACTTCAAGGAGATCGGCTGGGAGGACTGGATCATCCAGCCGGAGGGTTATCACATGAACTACTGCGCAGGGCTCTGTCCCCTGCACATGGCTGGCATCCCCGGCCTCGCTGCCTCCTTCCACACGGCTGTTCTCAACCTCCTCAAAGCCAACAATGCCGACGCGGCCGTGGACTCCTGCTGTGTCCCCACACAGCGTCGCCCCCTCTCTCTGCTCTACTATGACCGAGACAGCAACATCGTGAAGACCGACATCCCCGACATGATTGTCGATGCCTGTGGTTGCACCTGAGCGGCTGCCCCAGGAGGCAGGAGGGCAGGAGCTGTGGCCGTGCAGCGCTCCCCTCCTCCTGCCCCGTCCTGGCGGTGCAAGCCTGGATGAGCTGCTGAGAGATGGGAACCCTGCAAAGGTGTTTTCTCCTCCTGAGGCTGAAGCATCAGGGGTAATGCTGAATCTGAAAGTCCTCTCCCCCTTCACCTCCCACATGGCCCTTTTCCCCCTTCAGACCTGGATTCCTCTCTGCCCATGAGCCACAGTCTCTGAGACCAGCTCCCGATGGACACCAGACCCTTCTCACCGTGCTGCTGTCCCAGGCAGGGGCATGGTGCAGCCCCAGGAGCACGTGCTCTTCAGGTGACAAGTCCCAGCAGTGCCCACCTCGGGCTGCTGTGGGAGATGGAAGCTGAGAAGCTGGCTGGGACAGAGGGAAGAGGGCTGTCCGCAGGGCCCCACTCCTCAGCTGGCCATGGGGTTGAGGGGGGTGAGGAAGGGGAAATTGATCCCTGTGGGAGGAAAGCGTCTCCCTCTCCAAGCATCCCAGCTAACCGGTGTTCAATAAAAGACTCCCAGCCATAGTGTGTGCCCGTGTATGTGTGCACGTGTGTGCCCTGTCATTAGCCAGCATGTCTTCCGCCTCTCCCCAAGATGCGACGTAGTGGATGTGTCCTCTCATAGCGAGTCCCAAGATGGCACCAAACTGACCCACTCTACCACGTGCAGTCCTTTTCTAGACAGTGACTTGGTTGCAAGCAGCGGGACTGGACATCCGTCTCCCGGATGCTCCGTGCCCGAAGACTGCAGTGCTGCTGGCCCTCACTGCTCTCATGTTTTCTGCCCCTGGGCTGCCTTTCCTGGGGGGATGCAGAACTCCTCAGGTGTCTCAATCAGATCCAGGGCATGGTATGGGAGCCCCCGAACACAGGGGGCTTGTCATTCCCACCGCCGAAGGTACTATTCCTTGGCTGGGCCAAATTTTCCGCTCCTCCAAAACCATCTGTGTTTGGCCAGTTTTGCCCCAAGTCAGGACAAAACTGAACAACTCTTTTTAAAATGGACAGAGACTGTCAGGCAAGACCACAAAAGCCTCCGTGCTCAGGACACCCACCTTGGCAGCAGCTTCTCCGTGCATCTCTGGCCGGCAGCCCAGAGCAGCTGCCCCCTTCGCTGCCCCTCACCAGCCTGGCTGGCAGCGAGGTGGGACCTGTCAGTGCCGTGAGAGCTGGGGGCAAAGGGCGGCTCTGACACATCAGCCCTATTACATAATCTCCTGTTAGGGTTTCTTCACTGCTTCCCACGTGTTCCCCATGTGTGAGGGCTGAGAAAGCAGGGAGAGGGTGCTGGAGTGGGGCGATGCCCCGGGGTGCATGTAGCTGGGCTAGGGTAGAGCTGGATGAGCACAGTCTGGGGGTCCACCCTGCAAGCACTGATGACCCCATCCCAGAGGCTGGAGGCAGACCTGAAGCGCGTTGGCAGAGGGAGAGGAGTGTAGTGTCAGACCCTCTCCCCATCTGGCTCGAAGGACACCTTTGCATCTGCTGTCCCACCGCAGGATCAGTCCGGGGTGGTCGGAGCCACGTGCAGCTCTGGCTGGAGCAGGGGCCGGGATACACGTTGCCTCCAAGGACCTGTGACACCTTGAGCAGGGATGAAACAAGCACAAGCAGGAGAAAGTGTTTGCGCTGTGTCCCGAGGCGGACACTCCCACCGAGCGGTAGCGGGGACCCCCAGCTCCCTGTTCGCGTCGCAGGAGCAGCCGGGCTGAGATCTGGGCTTCCAGGCCCTGGTGTCTCCAGGACTCGGTGCTGAAGGGCTCCTGCTGACCCAGCTGCTGCGCCGGCAGGGGGGAAGAATCCGGGAGCG